ATATGGGCTTCAAAAAGTCTTAGGAAAAAGGGAATGGAAAGATAATGGAATTTTTCCACAAACTTTCTGTGTATGTATAAAATCTCACTGTCATCGAGTCAATTGTGACTCACAGCCACCCTATATAGGACAGCGGAGGACTGTTCTTCAGGGTTTCCAAGATTGTAAATCTTTATGGGAACAGACAGCTTCATCTTTCTCCTGAAGAGCAGCGGGTAGATTTGAACCTCCAACCTTGTGGTTAGCAGCCCAACACTTGACCCATAGCACCACCAGGGATCCTTGAATGTATCTATTGTAGTTTTTAAGTTGTTAAGTGTTGATAAGTCAGTTCCAACTCATAGCGTCCCTGTATAGGGTTTCTGAGGGCGGCTAGTGGGTTTGAAGTACGAACCTTGTGGTCAGCAATCCAGTGCTTATCCCACAGCACCACACCAATCTACAGCATTAGTATAAATTATGTTATAGCCTTTGTCCACAGCAACTAGCAGCATGTCCAGCACACTTGACAAATATTTGCTAGATGAAACAGAACTAATAAAAACACTTCTAAGAAATGGTAAGGTCATAAAACACACATAGCTACACAGACGGATATGCTTGGCATTTCCTCATTCCTCCATCTTTAAATGTACTTTCTAGATCAGCAAACTGCATTTCAAAATAAAAATTCAGGTTATAGGCAATAAGAATGAGCTATCTTTACACTGTTAGTGAAATCACAAGCTACAGACAGGTAGAAGATATATGTAAGTCAACTGCTGATAAAGCATTTGTCCTCGGAATCTTTGTATTCAATGCTTGATCAATCATAAGAAAACCACCACATTAAAAATGGACCTAAAATCCAATCCTTCCCCCAAGATGATAACATGGATGGCAAATAAACACATGGAAAAGGCTAAACAGCACCATTCATTGTTCTTATTAAACAAAGTGCTGTCAAGTCTATTCCCACTCACAGCAACTCTGTAGAGGGTTCCCAAGGAGTGGCTGGTGAGTTTGAACTGCCAACTTTGCGGTTCAAACCAACTTTGCAGTCCAGTAGTGCTTATCCTACAGCACCACACCAGGAATGCAAATTAAAACCCTAATAATACCAATGCCCACTTATTACAAAAAAAAGTGACAATGCCAAACGCTGGCAAGGAGGTGGAGCAACTGGGACTTTTATCCATTGCTGGTGAGAAGGGAAATGGCAGAGCCACTTTGGAAAATTATTTGGCAGTTTCTGAAAAAGTTAGATATACGATTGTTGTTGTTAAGTGCCTTCGAGTCGATTCCGACCCATACGATAAGACCCAGCGATCCTACTCTAGGCATTTACCCAAAGAAATGAAAATCTATGTTCACAAAATTCTTGGTGTAAACGGAACAACTAGATGGAAATAATGAGGACTCAGTTACAATGTGCAGAATCTCACCAATGACACTGAGCAGCATGGGAAGACTGTATGGAATGGGAGCCTGCTTCACTGTGGACATTTCCACCAAAATTACAATCAAACACTACTTTAAAAAATCCTGTTTGTGATTATTTGCAACAGCTTCTTCACAATAGCCCCAAATGGAAACAATACTGTTTCCCTTCAACTGGTAAATGGAGACACAAACTGTCTATATCCATACTAGGAGATACCACTCAACAATAAAAAGGAGCAAACTGCCAATTCATGGGGCAACATGCATGAATAGCAAATGTATTAAGCTATGTCAAAGGGCTAGACATCTGTTGTTAAGTGCTGTCAAGTCGGTTCCGACTCATAGCAACCCTGTATAGGGTTCCTGAGGAGAGGTTGCATATGGCATGATTCCTACATATACTATGATTCCACTTATATGACATTCTCACAAAGGCAAGCCTATAGGGATAGAAAACTTATTGGTGGTCAGGAGGAATGGGGGTGAAGGGAATCCCTGACACGGGGGAGTTGCACAACTGCATGTATTAGTCAACATTTATATATTCCTATACCGGAGTCTTGGTGTGGTTCTGTGGGTTAATGCACCAGAATGCAAAGCCATTTGAACTGCAATGTCAGCAGTTTAAGCTCACCAGCTGTTCCTCGGAAACCCTATACAGGGTCGCTATGGGTTGGAACCGACTTGACGGCACTTAACAACAACAACATACAGTAAACAAGCAAGTTTTACTCAGTCACCCTACTTATGAAGGACCAATAACCTCAAGAAAAGATGGGGACATTGAAAAATTAAAACCAAACAAACTGAGTATGGTGACCTTTCTGAGACAGTTTCTTTGTAAACTTTGAGGGGAGAAGATTGGATTAAATGATCTCTCCGAGTTCCCTTCCTTTACCTTACCCCTGTCCTGAGTGAAACCCTCCACAGAAGACCGTGTGCTTTTGGACCGTAGTCAGCGACAGTTCCCACCTGTCGGGCAGGAAGGCATACCTTGACAATGTCTTTTTCTTTCATCCAGGAGGGACATGAGAGGCCCTGGCTGAAGATCTGAAATAACACGGATCTTAGAGCATCGTAATTATCTCTCTTCACTTGTCGAACGCACTTAATATGATGTCGCCAAAATAGTTCTTCATAAGCCTATTCGATAAAGAGAAAACAAACACTTGGTTTGTAATCCCGCAGATGAAAAGGAGGAGCGCACTGTCTTTTCAGGCAGCTGTTCTTCCCAACCACAATGGACCCAGAAGCAAAAACAATGACGTAAGTCAGACTTATGATCGTATGTAATTTAAAGGCAACTCTCACACGGATGAGTCCACGGGCTGCTATTTGACACTAAACGCCTGGAAACCCAGGGCGGCGAGATATCATTTGGGGGAGATCAACTTGACCACAGTGAAAACTATCATGTAGTTTTTGTTTTTAAACAAAATAGTAATATTTTGTTTCTTTAAAAATCAGAAGCAAACATGGCAAAAAAAGTCTGTGATGCATACAGGGCACTTATATGCATATATCTACATCTACTTTTTAAATAGATTGGAAATATTTTATAATTAAATGGAATTTTAACAGGTACATATGGCATAACGATCAATAACAATAATTATTCACACCACAGAATTTATGAACTAATAATATTAACTGTCTAAGGCACAGAAACTTACATATGTACATTAGTGCATGTGATCAATCAGTCAAAACTAAATTTAAAAATTTGTAATTTACTTTAGTTGTTAATAATTTGCTAATGGGCTTTGAATCTCATGGAATTTCAAAATGACCTATGCAACAGTTTCAAGGCATGCTGCCTTTTTTATTAATGTTGTCAGTGTTACATCAATAAAATTATGATTAATTTGGTAATCTGAATTTCAGTCTTGTTTTGGGTAGCTTTTTCTTCAGCATGTGAGCAGTAACAGGCTTTACACTTTTACTTGCAAATCTTAAGTAAGTGTGTCAAGAGATCTAAGTATGAAGATAGACACCTACTTTGCTACAGTGTTTCAGTAGCTGAGCACCTGATGCCCTAAGACTAATGTGCAAAGAAAGCAATGCTCCATTCTCCTCTTTCCTTTTCTATGTGGGGATTGGGTCAGAAGCCAAGAAGTACTAGTACTAGAAAAGTTATAAACAAAGTCTTATTATAAAACCATTCTTAAGAGAAAAGAGAACTCTCACAAAGGAGTTACAAAATCCTTTTCGGTGGAAAGAGACCCCAAAAGAGAGAGTATTTTGCGACAGGGGCTAAGAAGAGGTAGTGGAATTTTGCTATCTATACTTCACTCACTGACTCATAGAGCCTCAAGACTAGAAGATAATAACCACCACAAACAAAAAAGAATAGGAGACAAACAAATCTAGGCTGGCCATCGCATCTGTAAATACTCATACCGATGGGAATCTTCTGACCACAGTCATACTACTTCATAATAGCCAATTTACCCAGATGAAGGAAATCAGTCACTTTATTAAACTTAAGCTGCTTCATGCTAGCATAACATTTGCAACACAGATGAGCAACTGATCTCACCTAGCCTAGCTATTACATATGTTAATATTTCCCATGAAATGGAAGACTGCAATAAAAGTATTCCAGGCCCCAAATGTCCATACTTCCATATTTTGGGCTCTGGTTACAAATCTGGTTACAAATTGGGCTGCTAACCTCAAGGTCGGCAGTTCGAAACTACCAGCTGTTCCGTGGGAGAAATATGAGGCTTTCTGCTCCCGTAAAGACTTACAGCCTCCTCAGAAACCCTGTACAGGGTCGGTATGAGTCGGAACCGACTCCACAGCACATAACCACATGACATATTTTGGGCACAATTATTAAAGATAATAGTGCTGTGACACAAGACAGGTGTTGGGTCACTCCACTTCAGCTTATTGTACAGAATTTTACTTAACTCTTAACTTTCAGTTCTGAAGGTTGATATCTTGCAGTTTTAAGACTACATGCTGAGTAACTAATTATGACTGTCACAACTGTAAAGGTAGAAGTTTTGTAACAAACTGGGGGGAGTAATTTATCTTACAGTCCAGGAACACAGGGCCCTAGGACCATCAAGGAAGAAGATCATGAGCAGACTGTGGGCCCCTGTCCAGAGAAGCAGTGACACCAGAGATGGAGGCAGAGATGATGACATGGAGAGATAGAACAGCTGAGGACTCTAGACTCATAGAAAGAGAAAGGCTGTGTGCTGGTTGCCAGGAAGCAGGCTTGCAGAATGTGTCCTTTGGTTATTTAAATGATTATATATTCCTGAGCGTTTTGGTATACATATCCCCTCACCCACTGCCAAAAAAACCCCAAACAAACAGAGGGAATAGAAGCAAATACTGTTGAATGATGATGCACAGAGAAGATTGTAATCATTGCAATGAAATGATGAATGTAAAACTGATGTTCTCCATGTAAACTATCACTCAACTCACGATAAAAACTTTTCTTAAAAAAAAAAAAGAAAGACTACATGCTGAGGAGGTACTTCAATGGACTCTTCTGTATGGCTTTTGCTAGTGACAAAGTTAGGCAGCACTTCTGGGAATATGTACCAAAACTAATCTGAGAGAGAATACTAAAAATCTAAAAATTCTAAAAACCTTCCATGTATTTTCCATTTGGGTGCCTGGTCCCATCAAGGACAGACTCCACTGTATGTGCGGAAGTGTACCATCCCAGCTCTTCTTAGGTGAGGCTATGAAGAGCTGGGACATTCCAGTCTCCCCGGTTACAGACCTGCTTTACCTGGTTCTTCCTGCTTTCCCTCATTTTCCAAAGAGTCAGCTCTGGGGACATGGCCCAAAGCCAACGTCTAACTTATGCTTCTGACTGAGAGCCACTGGGGTGGCTAGTTTCACACGTGGTAGGAGTTGATCTTTGGGTCCAGTTTGGCAGAATGGAATGTCTCCTTTCTTTCCCCTGATTTTTATGGGAAAAGTCTGCGCCCTTCCATCATTTTTATAAACAGACACACCTTCTTCATAAGTCTCGCATAGGGTGTTTCTCCTTTCCATTTTCTGGCACAATAACTGAGCACATCGACTTCTGCCTCCACGCTGAGGTTCTCTGGATCAAACACAAACATCACAAGCAGTTTGTTTCCCCTTTCTCCTCCCTGCTTGAGCTGCCCCCTCATCTTAAATATAAGGAAACACACATGAAAATATTTACTTTTGAATTTTCTCTGCAGGTATCCGATCCACCTGAAAGAGAAAAGGGACAATCGTATGAAAGGTCTACTTTGAATGGCCAGGGCATTTTGGAATTTGAAGACACAGTAACCTACCATTTCAGACCATGTCCAGAGTATGAATATAGCTCTCGGAAGCGGCAGAGGGCAGCCAGAAGTAACGAGGCTGCCAGTATCATGGATCCCTTCACTGTCCTCCAGGCAGTGTCCAAGGCTTGGCTTGAGACTAGTGTCCAAGAAAGAACTTTGTCACCTCCTATTTAAAAAAAACAAAATTAATTTACCTTACAATCAACGCTCAAGGGAAAAACAGTGAAGAAACCAGATGCCAAATTACATTAGGCACATCTGCTACACAAGACCTCTTTAAAGTGTTCAAGATCAGAGATGTCAGTTTGAGGACTGAGGTGCACCTGATCCAAGCCAGCATATTTTCAGTAACCTCACATTCATGTGAAATTTGTATCATGAATAAGGAAGACCATAGAACAACTGAAGCATTTGAGTTACAGTACTAGAGAATATTGAAAGTGCCACGAACTTTCAAAAGAACGAACAGATCAGTGTTGGAAGAAATGCAGCCAGAGTGCTCCTTAGAAGCCAGGATGGCCAGCCTTTGTCCCATGTACTTTGGAGATATTATCAGGAGGTACTAATCCCTGGAGAAGGACATCATGCTTGGTAAAATGGAGGGTCAGTGAAAAAGAAGCAGACCCCCAACGAGATGGAATGACACAGTGGGCTCTAATGCAGCAACAATTGTGAAAAGGAGGCGGGACTGGTCAGTTTTTCGTTTTGTTGTGCACAGGGTTGCTATGAGGCAGAACTGACCCAACAGCACCTAACAACAATAACTACTACATAAGAGTCAGCTTTAAGAAATAAAAAAAGAGATGGGGATAAGATTCTTATGATTCAGTAGTAATTGTTATCATGACTAACAGTGATTGTCACAACTGTAAAGGTAGAAGTTTTGTAATGAAAAGGGGGAGTAGTTAATCTTATAGTCCAGGAACAGAGGACCCTTGGACCATCAAGGGAGAAGAGCATGAGCAGAATGTGGGATCCTATCGAGAGAAGAAGTGATATCAGATGTGGAGGCAGAGATGAGAACATGGAGAGAGGGTGCAGCTGAGGACTCTAGACTCATGGAAAGAGAAAGACTGTGTGCTGGCGGCCAGGAGGCAGGCTTGTTTGGTTGTTTAACTGTTTATATATTCCTGAGTATTTTGGTGTACATAAAAATAAAAAAAAACCCCAATGAACCAAAAAACCCTAAGGAATTGAAGCAAATACTGCTAAATGATGATGCATGGAGGGGATTGTAATCATTGCAATGAAACAAAATACGATAGGATGAATGTAAAACTGATATTCTCCCATGTAAACTATCACTCAATTCACAATAAAGACTTAAAAAAAAAATACAATGGCTTAAGTTGGACCACTTTAGTCCTCAAAAAGAAAAAAAGAAAGATACATTGGAAAACTTTACCTATAAAGTGTCTATCATTGATGTACATAAACATTTTTAAGAATATTCAATCATTCAATCTAAAAAAAGAAACATCCAGTTCTATAACTTTCGTTGTGCCATCAGTTGGTTCCAACTCATAGTGACCCTGTATAAGGGTTCCAGGAGGGAGCGG